CGAAAGTGCGTGTTGAGAGGCAGATGCTGCAAACATGCAAATTGGAAGATGCAATAAAGGAAAAGGAAGGAAGAAAGTGCATAGAGGGTCCATGCAAATTGAATGATGGAAATTAGGCGATGGCAGCAGAACATAGAAAGTGTAGCAGAGTGAAGGAGGCGTGGCAGACGCAATGCAAGGAATGAAGGAAGCGTACGAGAGCAGGGATGGAGAGCGCAGCGAGGGCAATGCATGCCTTGACACAGACGAGCGGCCCATACGTGGCAATGAGGCCCCCGAATATGAACGCCCCTGCCACCTGCCGAGGGGGTTGGCGAGCAAGAGAGAGGGTGAAGGGAGAGGTGATAGGGATATGCACAACAATATTTAAACTACGGATTTCATGGGTGAGAGGGTAAGACTGTTGTGAAGAAGCAGATTTTTAGGAGTTCGAGAAGAACTGACCGGATACACTGAAGCATTGCAAGAAGTGAGCACCTCAAGGTGCACGTTAGTGCGAAGGCAGCACATGTCGCACGAGGCTCAACGGGCAAGAACGGACAAACAAGGCGGGGTGCATGGCGTTTGCAGCAGAAGCGAGCGGTGCAGGGCACAGGTGGGCTCACCTCGCCGAACTGCTCGATCCTCCCCAGCGTGGCCATGGCCGTCGCCATGAGCTCCGGCCGATCCTCTCCCACCAGCTGACCGGGGCACCGGGTGGGATGGGAGGGAGGTCAAAGGCGATTGTGAGGCACCACGCACGCATGTACACACGCATCTAAGCACCCGTTTGCATCTATCCCCAATTAGTAGTCCCCTCACTGCCCTCCATTCCATTTCTCATCATGTTAAGAGTGTGCCATATGTGTTGTTTATTAGTTCTGAAGCCCATGTAAACGTCCCAAAGAGAAAACGGAACACTTCCGTCCCACGCAACTATTCAACCCCACCGCATTGGGGTGAACTTGTACGACACACTGTACCTCATGCAGCAACTAATAGAAACCCCAAACCTTCAACTATAAGTGTATGTCCAAGATGCTTTTGAGCATACTGCGGTTCTATGCTAGAATACACACTCTCACACGTAAACGGTCACTCAGGCATGCACCCACGCACTCATGCGTCCACGCGCCCTTGCGCCCATGCGCCCCTGCGCCCATGCATACACGAGATAGGGGAGAGGGCAGGCGGGGGAGAGCAAGGCGGGCACTCACCACGAGGACCCAGTCGATCTCCACGGCCACGCCCGTGACCAGCCCCATCACGCGCTCCACCGCGCCCGCGACCAGCAGCACCACGAACCACCCCTGCTGCAGCAACGCTGCTGCGGGGAGAGCCGACAGCGCTGACGTGGCAGATGATGTGTCGGCTGAATCCGCGGCAGCAGGTGCAACGGCAGCAGGGTAGGCGAGGTGCAGCGCGTGCATGGTGGCTGCTGCTCCCACCATGATGGCGCTGCTCTGCGCGCACGGGCGGGGTGAGAGATGGGCACGCGCACGAGTGGGGCGATATGAGGAGGGCGTGGGAGCGACTTGACGCCATGGCGAGATGGCGGGGAGGAGAGCGTAGAATGCGGCGAGCACGGTGGTAAGAGAGCAGAGTAGAGCGCAGTGTAGGTGGGGTGGTGGCGTGCGATGAGCTGACCTGAGCGACGAGGATGACTCTGAGAGCCGGCACCCTGGGCGCGGAGTCCAACAGGTCGCCCACCAGTGGCGCCGCCACACACGCCACTAGCTGCGCGTCGCGGGGGACACGCAACAAGGGGGTGGACGGTACGGTGGGGGCAAGCGGAAGTTGAAAAGAAGGGAAGAGATGGGAGAACGCAGAGGAGGGATGGCAAGCACGGTGCTGGAAGCAGGTGAAGGCCAAGGCACGAGGAAAGGACATTGCGGGAGAGATTAACGACGCGTTGCGCTTGCGCATGGTACTGCGTGAGCTTGGAATGGGTTGATGCATGCCGGGCGAGTGCATCATGTGCTAACCTGGCTAGCAAATCGTGCCACAGCCACGGGCAGTATCGATTGATGCAGTAACGCGAGCAAAGCTGCCCCTGCAAATCGCCACGATTGCTCGCTAAAGCAGTTGAACACGAATGTCCAGTACAGGGCTGCGGGGCAGGGAGGAGACGGATGATGGGAGGTCGGGGGGGGCGCGAAATGGAGGCGGGGATTGGACGGCCTTCACACCCGCGAGAGCGGCGAGATTGCTGGCACACCGCGGTATTTTGGCACTCTTTCCTTTGCGAGGGAGAAGGAAAAGGAGGCATGGGGGGCACTGACCAAGGAGAGAAAGATGGTTGCATGAGTGTCGTGGTTTCGTGGAATTGTGGCTCCTGGAAAGGCATGGTGGTTGAACGCACCATGCAAAGCAGCGGGATGGGCAGGGCGGGCCAATGATGCCTCTTCACACGACGACCCTCCCGCATGCTGCTTCTTGGCCCGCTCCGCCCCTACTTCTGCTGCCAGCCCGCTCGAGTAGCCACTGCTATCACTGCCATCACTGTCCGACAGCGAGTCGCTGTCACTGCTGCTGCCGCACTCGATCCCAATGTCCCGGCCTGCGTTGAGACTGCTCAAGCTGCTGCTGCTGCTGCTCCTGCTGCTATGCGACCAACCGCCCTCGCGCAACAGCTGAACGCCGTCAGCTGCCAAGCCCACTACTCCGAACGGCTCTTCGCTACAGCACAGTGCACTCTCCATCCCGTCCACAATGATATCCAAGCGATGCGACACGCGACCTACGAACAGTAATCTGTAGTACCGATTAGACTCAGATACCGCAACAGCCTAGTTTACTAAAAAACAAGCAAATCCGCTGCGGATTTTGCCGTTTCTAGTTTAGTAGTAGCCGCGCAGCTGGACGAAGTACTCGGTTTTGAAACAAGAAAACTAGCCAACTCTACTAAAGAAATAGTTCCGCCAATGGAACAAAAAGTAAATACCCAGCGCTCGTGCTTGGTTGCATCAGCTGAGGGCACGCACACTAGGTGATTTTCCTGCACCACAGCAGCTCTCCAAACTTCGGATGGTGGTGGGTGATGTGACTGCCAACCTCGGAAACAACAATCGCGACTCGTGATTGTGGTTCGGAGGAATTCAGGTCAGTGATGATATCAGATATCAACAAAGCCAGCGTGCCTCACTCATGTTACACCCTGTTTCTCACTACACTGAACTGTGCTGAACTGATGGAAAACCTAGTTACCTTCGATTTGTCTGATTGAACCATACCTAGACTTAATCTAACCACCGTTAACCGTGCTTTTCCCATCTTGACTTAACTATAACCGAATTCACAATGGCGAGAAAGAGGGTGTAGCAGGTGAAAGGAGTTCAGTTGAAGCGGTTGGATGTGTGTACCTTGTTGCGATTTTCTCGCTAAACCACTTTGAACCGCTACTCATCAATCTGAACATTCATACTTGAACTGAAGAAATTTCGCGACCCGCCCTGGATGTACAGGTGGCCCAGTCGCCACAAGCGTGTTTCTCGCTCGTAACACCAGGCGCAGCTTCCACGTTTCTCGCTGGTGGTACAGTAACCTGGCTCTCACCAGAGGGTACTGTAAGGGCGCGAAAAATTGCCAGGAACTCAATTAGGCCAGGGTGGCCCAATTGAGCGAACCCTTTCACGCGCTTCACTGACGGTTCCGCAACTAAACGAAGTGCATGGTCAAATTGTGCGGAGCTCGTTAACTGGTTACTTTCGCAACCGCCATCTGGCCGAATTGGGTTTTCTGGCGATTTTCCACGCCTTGAAATGTGGTGGATTCCGGCCCCTGCGTCGCACCGTGCGGCAAGGCGTGAGTTGATGCGGAAGTGCTGTGCCATGAGATGTATGTTTTTGTTTGCCCGGCGCAGGTATCGGAGGAAGCTGGTTCTCATTTGAGATATACTCGCCTGCGGACTCCAAACTCATAAATCACTTATCAGAAGATTTTAGCCATACTACAAGACAACCGAAGTCAGCTCTTGAGAAAGGAAAGTCCCAACCTCCCTGGCAGCCAGACATTGCAGCTGGCGTGTTGTTCTCTGCTGGTGTCAGGCGGGCTGACACGAAGCGGTGAAGGGTTTGGATTTGTTTGATGATGACGTGGAAAGATCGAAGCTGTCGATAGCTTTGTGACTGGAAATTAAACACTGGCCGGGAACGCGCACTGGCCGCATCCAGCCATAGGGTAATTAGGGGTAGGCAGGGTTTGTAGGGGGTGCAATTTCCCACTTGTACCTCCTGTATGTCCGTTAGTAGTCCATTCTCTCATGCTGATACCTTATACACGCACGCTAAATACAGGGAAAAAGTGTCTGCAATTGTGATTCTTTATATCGAACGATGGCTTTCACTACTGTATGATTCACAGAGAGATTGCTGAAATATAAATACACATCCTATGGGCATGCACTCCCGTATGGATTTGCATGCTGGGTAGCTGGCTGGCAGGTTAAATAAGGTATTATAAAAACAGCAGCAGCAGCAAGGCTGTGACTGCACAGCCGGCACGAAAGAGTGGCACGACGGCACAGCAATTGTTAGAGCCTGCACACAGGCAGAACGGAAACGATTGGATGGGCTGAAGGCATGGTATTGGTTTGTGTGACACTAACAAGCACTTCCAGGAATATGTGAGTACGGTATAGTACGCAGAGCTGAAATGAACCTCAAGCACATACCCCACAAGTGACACAGCGTGCACGTGCGGCTACAACAAAACAGCCCAGTACACAAAATGGGAAAGGAAACGGAGGACAGTATCAGATGTTACCTTTCCATATGGATGCTGACCCTGCAACAAGCACGCAGAGAGTGGGAAGAGGAGATTCACAGACGAGGAAAGGGAACGAGGAAAGAAGGATAGCATGTAAGAGGACAATGGTGGACTTGAAAGAAGAAGGGAGAAGAAACGGACACAAGAGGAAAGGCAAAAACACAGGCAGCAAACAGGAGAATGACGTTTGAGTCGACTCAAGAGTCAACTCGGCGCAAACGCACTGTGATAAGCCAAGCAAGCGTACCAAGGAAAATCTGAGAAGCCATTGTGACAGTGGAGGCAAGAAAGGACAGCAAGAGATTATGAGCAGGTGCGGTTGGGAGAGAGAAAGTTGGTAGAGAGAATAAGAGAGGACAGCAGGACGCGAGGGGGAGAAGGGTGGCTGGTGAAGGGGTGAAAGGAGTGAAAGAGAAGGAAGGGGCACTGACAGGGCGCGGAGGAGTTGGAGGAGTCGTTGGAGGGGGGTGATGGGGTTGCAGAGGCGAGGGGGTTGGCCCACGCAGGCAGCAAAGAGCCCGAGGAGGGCGGAGCCGCGGCGGCAGTGGGTGGAGGGGGCTGCAGATAAGTCATGTCGGCAAAGGGGTCTCGCGTGTAGTTGAATGTCAGGTACTCGCCCGATGAACCTGGGAGTGGGGCGTGGGGGAGAGGGGAGTTGGGTGGAGGGGAGCGGTGAGGGAATGGGGAAAGGAAGGGAGTGTATGCGAGGGGGGGCTTAGCGGGAGGGAGAGTTTAGCATGGGGAGGAGTGTAGGTAAGCAGCATGGCGGCTGCATTTGAGGTGTACATGGAAGGAGAATGGCGTGCATGTGTGCGGCAGGAATGGTGCGGAAAGATGCACAGTGGGAAGTGAGGCAATTCATCCATGCAGGTCGTGCAGGTTGTAGAGTGGAGGTGGTGGTGTGTCACGGTATGAAATCAGAGTACGTAGAAACGAACAGATGAGAAGTAGAGCAGGTGGTACTCTGTGGCGTGCAGTGGTTGCACGTTCTAGGATGGGACGAGCGAATGGGAGGCAGGGCGAAGAAGGGGAAGATGACAGAGCGAGGGAGGGAGGGATGAAGGTGGGGGGAGCAGAGAGGGCAGGAGGAGAGGAGAGGTTACAGTTGAGGGGAGCCCATCCGAGCTGCTTCTTCTCGATGTCAACCGAAATGTATGTGTCCAGTACCCACGTCTCTGATGCCCGCACACACACACGTACACACAGAAGTGTTCACAAGCACGTGTCAGCACAAACAACCACACACAACCACACATGACACCAATTGCTCAAGGCTTCCATGCGCACCCATTTCCCCCACCCAACCTCACGCAAACCACTCCCCTCCCACACCCCCTTCCATTCCCCCTCTCACTCCTCTTCCCACTCCCCCTCCCATTCCCCCTCCCACTCCCCCTCCCCCTCCCACTCCCACTCCCACTCCCCCTCCCCCTCCCACTCCCACTCCCACTCCCACTCCCCCTCCCCCTCCCCCTCCCACTCCCCCTCCCACTCCCCCTCCCACTCCCCCTCCCACTCCCCCTCCCACTCCCCCTCCCCCTCCCCCCTCCCCCTCCCACTCCCCCTCCCACTCCCCCTCCCCCTCCCACTCCCACTCCCCCTCCAACTCCCCCTCCCACTCCCCCTCCCACTCCCCCTCCCACTCCCCCTCCCATTCCCCCTCCCACTCCCCCTCCCATTCCCCCTCCCACTCCCCCTCCCATTCCCCCTCCCACTCCCCCTCCCTCGCCACGAAGAACCCTCGTCCCCGGCAGCGTGCACGCACCGCCAATGATGACGGAGACGGGGAAGTTGTCGGGCGCAGCCATCATGGTGGCGCAGTAGTACTGGTCAAACCCATCGTCCTGGGGGAGGGGGAGGGAGAGCGGGGAGAACGGGAGAGAGGGAGGGGGCGCAGGAGGGATTGTGGGGGGGGGGGAGTGGGGGAGTGGAAGGGAAAGGGTGGGCGAGAGGAGGAAGGCACGGGTGGCACATGGTAGTGGTGGAACCCATGGTTGAGGGGGCCAGTGCGAGCTGTGCGAGGGGGACAGTGGAGGCGCAGGAGGTGTGCAGGAATACAGTGCGGGGTGGGGGTAATACATGGGAGAGCGAACAACAGCGAAAGTGGACAGAAGAGAAGATGGCAGTGAGGGATGGGGAGACGAATGGTGTGAGGCAAGGGTGCTGGTACGGTTGATGGTCAGAGTGATGCAAGAGAGAGCGCCCAGGAGAAGATGCATCCGTGGTGGCAAGGGGACAAGGAGCAGGGGTGTGAGAGTGTGGGGCGCGTGAGTGTGGGGCGTACGAAGCGGCTGAGGTAGTTGGAGGAGGGGATGCTCCACACGGCCCCGTCTGCCATCTCCATGTGGATCACGGGGAATGCTGGAGGGGCGCCGTCACTGGTGGTGCGGGCACGCACGCATGCACACACACACGTGCGCATGCACACACACACGCACACGCACACGCGCACACACACACACACACATGCAGAGATGAACCACCGAGCAGCAGCAATGACAGGCACACAGGGTGCGAGATGACAGGTGAGGCAATGACCAGGGCAGGCGAGTGGGATGGCAGGAATTGGCCGTGCGACCACACTGCCATGCCAATGAGCACCACACCTCTCCTTTCATTCAACTCCTCCCTGCCCCCCTCCGTGTTACCCCCTGCCCCCTGCACCCCTGCCCCCCTGCCACCCTGCCCGCGTGACGGGGCACTCACAAGAAGCCGAGGACGATGCAGTCGAGGTTGAGCTCGGGCACGAAGAACACCTCCTGCCCTGCAAACACCTGCCGCGCGCGCATGCACGCTCACACACACGCAACCACGCACGCGCGAAACCACACCCACCAGGGGGAACACAGCACACAGACCAGGAGAGGAAGGGGAGCAGAAGGGGCACAGCACAGGGGACAGCACGGGGCACAGGGATGCCATGGTGAGGTGTGCGGGGCGAGAGAGGTGTAGAGTGGAGCAGAATCTCGGGGGTGCGGGGCGAGTGGCACGGCATGCAGCGCGCTCTCATGCGGGCGGGCGTGCCCGGCAGGGGGGCGCTCTCACACCTGAGGTCAGTCAGGTGAGGCCAAGTGGAGCGACGTGAGGTGAGGGGGTCCATTTTTCAACCGCCTCAACAGTAGACACGAGGTCAGCAGTGCAGACATGTCGTGGCACTGTGTTATGTGTGTTGTGCTGCCTGCCCGCCTAACCGCCTGCCTGCCTGCCCGCCTCTTCGTCCCCATCGACCTCCCCTCTCCCCCTCCCTCCTCCACCCGTCCCACACACAACCCCCCATGCAAGCGTGCGGGATAGACGCATAGATGTTGGATGGCAGGACGGTGAGCGTGGTGCTCTTGCCCTGTGCAACCCCCAACCTCCCCCACTTCCCACCCTCGTCTCCCTGCCCCCACCCCACCCCCACCCCCTCCCCATCCACGCCCCCCCTGACCGCACTCACAGTCTGCAGCACGGAGGCATAGAGGTCGGAGGGCAGGATGGTGAGCGTCGTGCCCGAGTCCACTATCACGCCGCCCCTGCTCTCCGCACCCCCAGTGCTCCCACCTGCTCCCTGCGCGGCCTGTGTGGCGTTGGTGGGCGCGAGGTTCTCACTGCCGGGCAGCGTGGCGCCCTCCACAGTCATGCGCACCACGTCTATGAAGTAGAACGGCCTGCATGCCAAGGGGTGACAGCGGCCACGGGTACAGAGGGTGGGTGGGAAGGGCAGGGAGAGAGGCGGGGAGAGAGGCGGGGAGAGAGGCGGGGAGAGAGGCGGGGAGAGAGGCGGGGAGAGAGGCGGGGAGAGAGGCGGGGAGAGAGGCGGGGAGAGAGGCGGGGAGAGAGGCGGGGAGAGAGGCGGGGAGAGAGGCGGGGAGAGAGGCGGGAGAGAGGCGGGGAGAGAGGCGGGGAGAGAGGCGGGGAGAGAGGCGGGAGAGAGGCGGGGAGAGAGGCGGGGAGAGAGGCGGGGAGAGAGGCGGGGAGAGAGGCGGGGAGAGAGGCGGGGGAGAGAGGCGGGGAGAGAGGCGGGGAGAGAGGCGGGGAGAGAGGGGGGAGAGAGGCGGGGAGAGAGGCGGGGAGAGAGGCGGGGAGAGAGGCGGGGAGAGAGGCGGGGAGAGAGGCGGGGAGAGAGGCGGGGAGAGAGGCGGGGAGAGAGGCGGGGAGAGAGGCGGGGAGAGAGGCGGGGAGAGAGGCGGGGAGAGATGAGAGAGGCGGGGAGAGAGGCGGGGAGAGAGGCGGGGAGAGAGGCGGGGAGAGAGGCGGGGAGAGAGGCGGGGAGAGAGGCGGGGAGAGAGGCGGGGAGAGAGGCGGGGAGAGAGGCGGGGAGAGAGGCGGGGAGAGAGGCGGGGGAGAGAGGCGGGGAGAGAGGCGGGGAGAGAGGCGGGGAGAGAGGCGGGGAGAGAGGCGGGGAGAGAGGCGGGGAGAGAGGCGGGGAGAGAGGCGGGGAGAGAGGCGGGGAGAGAGGCGGGAGAGAGGCGGGGAGAGAGGCGGGGAGAGAGGCGGGGAGAGAGGCGGGGAGAGAGGCGGGAGAGAGGCGGGGAGAGAGGCGGGAGAGAGGCGGGGAGAGAGGCGGGGGAGAGAGGCGGGGAGAGAGGCGGGGAGAGAGGCGGGGAGAGAGGCGGGGGAGAGAGGCGGGGAGAGAGGCGGGGAGAGAGGCGGGGAGAGAGGCGGGGAGAGAGGCGGGAGAGAGGCGGGGAGAGAGGCGGGGAGAGAGGCGGGGAGAGAGGCGGGGAGAGAGGCGGGGAGAGAGGCGGGGAGAGAGGCGGGGAGAGAGGCGGGGAGAGAGGCGGGGAGAGAGGCGGGGAGAGAGGCGGGGAGAGAGGCGGGGAGAGAGGCGGGGAGAGAGGCGGGGAGAGAGGCGGGGAGAGAGGCGGGGAGAGAGGCGGGGAGAGAGGCGGGGAGAGAGGCGGGGGAGAGAGGCGGGGAGAGAGGCGGGGAGAGAGGCGGGGAGAGAGGCGGGGAGAGAGGCGGGGAGAGAGGCGGGGAGAGAGGCGGGGAGAGAGGCGGGGAGAGAGGCGGGGAGAGAGGCGGGGAGAGAGGCGGGGAGAGAGGCGGGGAGAGAGGCGGGGAGAGAGGCGGGGAGAGAGGCGGGGAGAGAGGCGGGGAGAGAGGCGGGGAGAGAGGCGGGGAGAGAGGCGGGGAGAGAGGCGGGGAGAGAGGCGGGGAGAGAGGCGGGGAGAGAGGCGGGGAGAGAGGCGGGGAGAGAGGCGGGGAGAGAGGCGGGGAGAGAGGCGGGGGAGAGAGGCGGGGAGAGAGGCGGGGAGAGAGAGGCGGGGAGAGAGGCGGGGAGAGAGGCGGGGAGAGAGGCGGGGAGAGAGGCGGGGAGAGAGGCGGGAGAGAGGCGGGGAGAGAGGCGGGGAGAGAGGCGGGGAGAGAGGCGGGGAGAGAGGCGGGGAGAGAGGCGGGGAGAGAGGCGGGGAGAGAGGCGGGGAGAGAGGCGGGGAGAGAGGCGGGGAGAGAGGCGGGGAGAGAGGCGGGGAGAGAGGCGGGGAGAGAGGCGGGGAGAGAGGCGGGGAGAGAGGCGGGGAGAGAGGCGGGGAGAGAGGCGGGAGAGAGGCGGGGAGAGAGGCGGGGAGAGAGGCGGGGAGAGAGGCGGGGAGAGAGGCGGGGAGAGGGAGAGAGGCGGGGAGAGAGGGGAGAGAGGCGGGGAGAGAGGCGGGGAGAGAGGCGGGGAGAGAGGCGGGGAGAGAGGCGGGGAGAGAGGCGGGGAGAGAGGCGGGGAGAGAGGCGGGGAGAGAGGCGGGGGAGAGAGGCGGGGAGAGAGGCGGGGAGAGAGGCGGGGAGAGAGGCGGGGAGAGAGTGCGGGGAGAGAGGCGGGGAGAGAGGCGGGGAGAGAGGCGGGGAGAGAGGAGAGGCGGGGAGAGAGGCGGGGAGAGAGGCGGGGAGAGAGAGGCGGGGAGAGAGGCGGGGAGAGAGGCGGGGAGAGAGAGGCGGGGAGAGAGGCGGGGAGAGAGGCGGGGAGAGAGGCGGGGAGAGAGGCGGGAGAGAGGCGGGGAGAGAGGCGGGGAGGAGAGAGCGGGGAGCGAGGCGGGGAGAGAGGCGGGGAGAGAGGCGGGGAGAGAGGCGGGGGAGAGAGGCGGGAGAGAGGCGGGAGAGAGGCGGGGAGAGAGGGAACATGGAGGAACTGGTGTGTTTTGCGTTGACTGAAAGGCGGCGTGGCGGGCTCCACGCTCATGTGCACCACGTGCATGAAGCACGACGGGATACAGCAGCAGCGAGGGGCGAGGGGTGAAGGGGTGCAGGGGTAGGTGGGAGGGGCAGGGAGGGCGGAAGGGAGAGAGGCATGGAAGAGCAGCGGGATACAGGTGGGTGGGAGCGAGTGGTTTGTGCAACAGTGAGATGTGGGATGCGAGCCATGCACGAGAACATGAAACTTGTAAACTCCACACACTTCCCCCACCCCACCCCTGAATGCTCCCATCCTTGCACATCTCACTCCCACTCTCCTCTCCACACCCTTCACCACCCACCACCCACCACCTTGGGTCCTCCCCGCACCACTCTCCACTACCCCCCTCTGCCATCCCCAGCGTACCGGTCGTTGGGCAGGAGGGTGGTGGAGCGCAGAGCAGGGGGGGGCGGCGTGCGGCCGAGCACAAGGTGCGAACCCGTGTCGTTAGCAGAGTCGAAGCAGAAGGAGAAGGCGAAGGGCACGTGCCCCGCCGTGTACAGCTGTGTGAGCGGCGAGATGGGCCCCACTCCCATGCCCATGAGCCCGTAGATGTAGCTCGACTTGGCCAGGTTCCCCGCCTGGTACTGCCCGCACCTGCACGCGTGGGGGCGCCGGGGGAGAAAAGGGAGGAGGGGGCGGGGGGAGGGGTGGGGAGGAGGGTGAGGGGGCAGGGGTGGGGAGGAGGTGAGGCGAGAATGGGTTGGGAGGAGATGGGGAGTTGGGAGGGATTTGGAGGTGGAGAGGGAGATGCAGTGAGGAGTGGGGAGGTGGGGTGGAGGAGGGAAGGAGAGGGTCATGGAGCGGACAGCACAAGGGGAAGCAGCAGGGCAACCAGGAGAAGGGAACGGACGCTGAAGGAGAGGTGCAGGGGCAGCAGCAAGCAGCATGGCATGGCGTAGCATCAGTTGCAACAGGCATAGAGGGCACACAATGCGGCAAGGCAGCTTGGGTCGGGGCGAGGCAAGGCATGGTAGGGCACAGCTGGACATGGCAGGGCAGGGCATGCGAGAGGGCCCACCCAAAGAGCATCTTGTCTCTGACCATGCCATCGGCCACAGTGGGCAGGTCCAGCGTGTCGATCATCACGCGCCCACTCGTGCTGCTGTTGTCCGCATACGAGTACACAAACTCGCACTCTCCATCCGCGCCCTCCGTCCCGCCCTCCCCCGCGCTCCCCGCCTCCGCGCCCCCGCCCAGGAGGCCCTCTAGCAGGCCCCCGGAGGAGGGAGCGGGGGGCGGGGCGGGGGGGGCGTCAAAGCGGTTGCAGCCGAAGGTGTAGTCGGCGAGGCAGAGGGGGCTGCTGCAGGGCACCACGGAGGAGTTGGGTGACTTGGAGGAATCGTACGCTGCCGCCTGGGGAGGAGCGAGGGAGGGGCACATGGGGGAGGCGGAAGCGCACGTGGGGAGCGGGACGCACGGGGGGAGGGGGAGCACAGGGGGGAGAGGGGACAGGAGAGGGAGAGAGGGGTGAGCGGTGGTGAAGGTGTAATTGGCGAGGCAGAGGGGGCTGCTGCAGGGCAGCACTGTGGCCCCGGGTGACTTGGACGAGTCGCACGCTGTCGCCTGGGGGGGATGCACGCATATCTAGAGGATGCATGGGGGGCGTGAGGATGCATGAGGGGAGGGGAAGGGAAACGAGGGTGAGTGGTGGTGGAGAGGTGAGTGAGGCAAGGGTGCATGGCGCGTGGCGCATGGCAGGGAGACTTGGCAGAGAAACAGACGCTTTTTAATGCGGGAGGGAAGTGGGGAGACGATTAGGAGCGGAGCAACGGGAGGGGGAGCAGGATGGGGGTGTGGGTGAGGGGATAGGGGTGATGGAGTAACGGGTGAGCGCAGGTTGCACAGCTGACGTGCACATGCCACATGCATGTCACACAGCAAATCGCACAGCATCCACATATGCATGCTGCCTGCCCGTGTCCGAGTCCCCCATACCCCCACACCCGCTCCCACTCCCCCCACACCCCTTCCATTCGCCGCGTCCCTCCCGCTGCCCTCTCGCATGCCGCCCACACACCCACCCCCCCCCCCCCCCGCACATGAGCGCATGACGCACAGCGAGCGAGTCGTCAGCAGCGCAGTCGATGCAGTCGCAGGGCAGCCACATGAGGCTGCTGCCCGTGTCCATCACCACCGCCACCTCCTGCCCCGGCGTGCCCACCGTTATGTTCAGGTAGTACGACCTGGGGGGAGGGGGGAGGAGGGGGGAAGGCAGGCAGGGAGTGAAGGCAGGGGGGGCGAGTGCATGTGGGAGAAGGGAGAGGAGAGAGTACGGGGAGGAAGAGGGGGGATTGAAATTGGGCGGGGAGAGTGCATGGGAGGAACGGAGAGGAGGGCGCACTTGCGGTGGGAAACGGGGCAGGAGGGGCCTGGGGGAGCGGGGCAACAAGCGGGTGGCGATGATGGGAGAGTGCGTATGGTAGAGGAAAAAGCACTTCACCACAACACCAGCTCCCCTTATTTCCTTTCCACCCGCACTCCCTCAATTTCCAAATCCCTGCGCCCTTCCCGTTTTCTTTCCCCGCAGCTCACTTCTCTCACCATGCATCCCCCATGCACCCCCCATGCAACCCCCATGCACCCCCCATGCACCCACCCCCCTGCGGTCCCCCCGCGCACCCATGCGCGCAGCTCACCCGGTGGGCAGCGCCAGCCCCCACATGCTGTACGGCACCACGGACGTCCCGTTCCCCGCGCCCACCGGCCCCAGGGGCGCCGCGCTCCCCGCGGTCCCCACGCCCTTTACGCCCGCCCCTCCGCCGCTGCTGCTGCTGGGGTCGCGCGCCGACTTCCCCACGTCCTTCGCGCTGCCGCTTTTCTCCACCTTTTCCGCGCCCTTGCTGCTGCTTCCGCCTCCGCCTAGCCGGCGCCGCGCGGGACTATCCCCACCCGCAACGGCGGACGCGACGGCGGAGGCGGCGGGCGCGTGCGCGGCGAGCAGACGGCGGCGTGTCCTGTGCGACGCGTCGGCGTGGTAGAGGGCGGACTGATGGGGGGAAGGAGGCCGGGGAGGAGCGGAAGGGGAGGGATGGGCGGGAAGGGAGGACGAGAGTGGGGGTGAGGGGAGAGGTCTGCGGGAAGGGGGAGGATAAGAGGATGATAGGAGCAGAGGCGAGGCATGGGCGCTGACGGCGACGGCGGCGGCGACGGAGGAAAAGCGCGATTGGGGCAAGCAAGGCACCTCTGAAGCAACCGCAGATTCATTTCGCATGCCCCTCGCTCACCCTCTCCGCCCCGCCGACCCCTCAGCTCCTCTCTTTAACCCACCCTTTCTCCCCACCCAGTCCCCCCTCCCTCAACCACCTCACTCCCCAGCGATGCCACACCTTGGTGCTCGCTTCCCCCCCGCCCCCCAATCAACCCCCATCGTCATGCCCCATCCCCGCATCGCACCTGCCGCTCTATGCCCTCTCTCAGCGCGCGGTGACCCAGCCCGTGCACCGCCGCGCCGCTTCCGCCTCCGCCTCCGCCTCCCCCCATCCACGGCGCTTGCCAGCGACCCCCGGCCGGCGGCAGCACCTCGCGCACTCCGCGCCACGTGGCGACGGGCGAGGGCGCACGAGAACGGGCGGACTGCACAGGAGAGTGCGGGGGAGAGGGGAGGCGGGAAGTGAGGGGGAGCGGGAAGAGGGGGGAAATGGTACAGGATGCGGGCGAGCAGATGAGTATGCGGAAAGCAGGTGGAGGCACGAGGATGAACGTGCGAGAGAGAGAGAGAGAGAGAGAGAGAGAGAGAGAGAGAGAGAGAGAGAGAGAGAGAGAGAGAGAGAGAGAGAGAGAGAGAGAGAGAGAGAGAGAGAGAGAGAGAGAGAGAGAGAGAGAGCGATGGTGGGACGACGCGGAGAGGTTAGATGCTGAGTGCATGTGGGTGGGGCGAGGAGATGGCGATGCGGCAAAGGAGATGTACGAGGCTTCGCGGAACGTGAAGGTGCGGCAGAAGGCGGAAGAAGGGGTGGACGAGTTAAGGGCGAGAGGACAAGAGGCAGTGGCTGGTGGGTACGGCGATTGGAGACCGAGATTCGCGGAATGCCACCGGCGGGTGTGCGGCAGTCTACCCGTGGTGATTACTACGACTGCTGGAGTGCATGCCTATAACGCGGATAATA